ACTTTCCTACTTTTCAAAGCATTGAAAAGGTATAAGAATTGTGATAAAAAGTTTTCCTTGGCCCTCCCCCCGCCTTCTCTTATTTTTCCTTGGCCCTCCCCCAGCCCCTTCTCATTTTTCCTTGGCCCTCCCCCCGTACGCACCGGCCCTCCCCCCCCGGTAAATACCGTAGGGTCCCTAAGCCCATCTGTACTAAGTTTGCCATATCCTAACTTTATTTTCGTGTTTCTGTCAGTTTTCCACCCATACAAACATTTGCCATTATAGCTAGTAAAGGTTATCTCTCTCCCAGCTAAGGAGGGCTACCTGACACCTGTTCTGTTATTTGACTGTTTCTTGTTAGAAAGTTTGATTCTCAGGCAATCATTTTACAGCCCTATTCTACTGACTGTTTCTTGTTAGAGATGGATGATTCACAGGCAATCATTTTACAGCCCTATTTTATCTCCCATTGTGTGATGTGATTGACAGCTGTCAAATCTGACCTTGGCTGCCCTTACAGCAGGACTGAGATGAATGGCAGCCTCTGTAACAGGGAATAAGAGTGTGAATGCCCAATGCAGTGTCAAAGGTGAAGACCCCCCCCCCAGAGGAAAACAAGTTACATGTACATAAGGTTAATATGTAATGTTTATGATGTACATAAGGTTAATATGTAATGTTTATGATGTTCTTAGTGTTCTGTTGACCCCCTTATCAATGTGCAGCAGACCCAAGATATTGCAATCAGGATAATGCAATTTGAATACTCTTTTCCTGTTTCCAACAAGATTTTGTGTTGATGAGTTCTCACCTGTGACCCCTAGAATGGCTGTTGAAGGTCAAATGCTGCCACTGTTGGAAGAGGAAATAGACAACCTTGGTGACGTCATGTCAGCTATCAGGCTTGCCAGGCACCATGGGATAGAAGTAAGCCCACTGCAACTTTAAAATAACAGATATTGTGCTATCATTGAGTCAGAAAGGAGGGACGTCATGTTTACAAAATTATTTATGTGTTTTGTTTTAAGTGTAACTCTAAGTGCCAACTTATGACTTTTTTTCCATTCATCAGATTAAGAGGGCGAAGAATCTTGATGATATCAAATTGAGTATGCGCATCCATGTACTCAAAGTGTTACAGGAACATGGAAGGACAGAGAGAACAACAGATGTGAGTAAAAGGATAGTAACTAATTTAATATCTGTCAGAGTGTATTTGGAAGGGTGGAAATGATTCAAGTTGGGTTGTTTTCAAGGAGGTGGGAGGCTCACATTAACTGATATTATAGATTTTAGCTTTAAGTTAGCTACTAGAAAGTCTTGACAAAATATAGTTGCCCCTGAGGCTTGCACTTGGGACAACCTACTTCCAGGGACAAACAGATGTTATTTGTGGAAAATGACATGTCAAGTTGAAAATAGCTGGAATTCCTGCAGACTGACTGCAAATTATACTATTAGGCTCACCCCTGAGGCATTGCCAAAAATGGTCCACGAGAGCAGACAAATGTACGATATGGTCTATGTTCACCCTGCCCAGGATGCAGTGGCTGTTGTTGCACGTTTGATAGAAGCTGACGTCACCAGGAGGATAAGTCTGGAGGGGTTTTACGACACGGCTGCAACACTGATGGAGACTCTGGACACCAACATTGAGCACCACCTAGCGAGGGACGAGTTCACCATGTACTACAGGGACAAGCTAGAGACGAAAAAGGCTCAACTAGCAGCTGCTGACTGCCCAATTCTAGTTGCTGGTATGTGTTAAGTCTATAGATTGGAAAGATGGGAACTCCCAAACTACAAGAGAAAGGTTACTTGGGCAACTGGGTAGATTTTGAAAACCTAACAGTATGCAGTTGATTCAGTAACTGTTTTCTTGTGTGTCTTATAACTTGGATGTCTATTGGAGACAGTTATAAGTCTCAGACGATGGCTGAAATTCAAAATTCAAGTTTCATTTTTTCATCACAAATTTTTCCTTTTCCATCAACAGGTGAAACATCTGCAGGAAAAAGCAGTCTCCTGAATCTACTCCTGGGACAGGACCTGTTACCTTGTTCTCACCTGTCCTCCACATCAGTCATCTGCAGACTGAGGTACGGGGTGAGGCGACGGGCTGTTGCTATGACCCTGGACGGAGTGGAGAAAGAAATCCCATTGGAGGAAAACTCAGATCTAAACGTGCTGTCTGAGTATGTGCACAACAAGCAAAGAGACCAGCCGCTGCCGTATAAGAGTGTGGACATCTATCTTCCCATCAACTATCTGAAGGTATTTACATGCATGTGTAGTGAATGTCCTCAGGGGCAAACCTTACAAGAGATCTAGAGGTATTGTCAGGGGACAGACTATTCATTGACAAGCTACTGTATGATGTAGGCAATTGGAGCAATAGGATGGGCATTAGAATGGTTTCTAGAAAGTCATACTGAAATGTTATATATTCCTGTCTGAAAAGAATTGTAGAGTATTTATTTTTCAGAGTGGAGTTTTCCTGGTGGACAGCCCAGGTATTGGGGAGAGCCCAGCTATGACCAGTGTTGCCATGGACTATCTCAGTGAAGCCTTTGCCTTCATTTATGTCATCAATAGTGCAAGTGCAGGAGGGGTACAGGAGGACAGGGTAAGTAGCGTGTTCACCCTTAAAGCCACATTATGAAATATTTTGGTCTCAAAATTTGAAACCACTTTTAAACACAGATGTTATTATCTCACACTTCTGACATTCATGGTTAGTGCAAAGCATGCAGTCCACACAAGGCAAAATGATGACACCCCTGCTCCCCTTTATTTTTCACCTGCACAGCTTCAAGCCTTGCTGCAGGCAGTTAACTCCAGGAAGGGTGAGGATGACCGCCCTCTGTTTTCACCTCGGTCTGCCATCTTCGTCTGCAACAAGTGGGACCTCATTCCTCCTAGTGAGCGAGAGGCTGTGAAACAGGACACTATAAGGTATACGGTTATATAAAACTATAATTAGTATAATACCCAGTCTACTTTCTTTGTCATCACTGACTTAACTATGTTTGGAGAGACTTAACAGTACCTTTGACTGGCATTTGTATTATAAGCATACATGTGAGTTATTATAAGATCTACCATAATCTTTCCATTTTCTCAGGAAACTGAAGGCCAGCTGGCCAGGGTTCACAACAGACCAGCTGTTCTTCCTGTCCACCAAGATAGCAGCAGACATCAGTGTTGCAGGCTATATGGCCTCTGATTTTGTCAGGCTCTTGAATGGAATAGAAAAGCTGCTACCCATCAGCCTTAGGTCTAAGTTGCAACACCAGTTTAGGTAATACATGTACCTCACTGTGTGTATTGTGAATACAGGTGCTCAGTTGGAATTGAAATAGTTTTTTTTTGAGGCACCATAAACCTTTTTTCTCAAAGTTTGATTCACCATATTTCTCTCCTATCTGTCAGCTTTCTTAGTGCTGTCATTTTTAATCACGAGCAAACAAATAAACAGTAAACAAATAAACAAAAATTCAGCAAAAACTGGCCGTAATGGGAGTTTACTTACTGTAATTGTTGACAGGTGGCTGGACTACCTGGTGGCCAGAGTTGTGTACCACTCAGGAGTCTATGTGCAGCAGGCTAAGTCATCCAAGGCAACCAACATTAAGCTGTACAGGGAGACTGAAGTCAGACTAAACAAGTTAGAGAAACAGGCAGGACACATCATCGGCAAGCTGCAGGAGTTCCTTCAGGACAGGGTTGAGGAAGGTGTGTCACTCACACAGGATTTCTTCATGCTATAGATTATGTTGACATGTTTAAGTCATTCACAATTTTTGATACATACACTGTAAGTGTTTGCAAACAAAGTCACTTGTAATGTGAAAAAATCTGTTGTCGGGGCTATGAGTCCCTTTGTATTGGGCTATGGTTAAAGGCTAAATTGTACCATAGAATGTGGTGCCTTCCATACTTCTTTACTAATTCGGCATACGGAATGCTGGCTCAGATCAGATGGTGGACCACTTATTTTGACACTAGCTGTCAAGGTGTGTATGGAGGTCCAGGATACAACATATTGGACATGCATATGGACCTACATCCTTTAGATTATTTTGGGCCACAAAGAAAAGCTTAATGCAATCTAAGATATTCTTGTTCATACCTGTAGGTGTTGGCCACCTGCAGTCTGTTCTTCAGTCTGCTCATGTGCAGCGCATGATGTCACAATGGGATGAAACAGATCTACCTAACGGTGAGGACTGGGCTGCCCTGGAGAAGGCCTTGGAAACCAGAATCAGTGAACGTCTGGCGGCCATTTTGTCCCAGGAGCACTTCGACTCCTACTTGATGGACCTTGAGTCCACTATCACTGATGAGTTCCGCAAGGTATGTTATTCAGAAACAACTTGATCTGCCCTAGCTATCTGTCTTAGCAATATGTACATGTACCTGGCCATCATAAACAAAATGATCTCAATCCAGATTCAGATCACTGAAGAGATAATCTTCCACTGGTCATGACAGAGAAGACAGACACTCACTACAGATGTACTGTAGTGAGTGTTTACAGGTTCATTATGATTGTATCTGGGAAATTCTCATTTCAACATGCACATTAAACAGGGACCACAGCTTCACATCCTTTTCTAAGGATTGTGACCCTTTACAGTCTTGTGCATGTCGGGTGATCAACAACAGCCGTGATTCAAACCTCCTCTTGGTCCAGGGTCGCTAACCTCTTGGAATATGCATTCTACTAAAATTAACATAATGTATCTGCATTAAATGTCAGTACTCCACTTTGAAAAAGCTTATTGATATTATCATAATGGTAATATTTCATATTCATCTTTGTTTCCTTTGTACAGGAGTTTAGTGTTGTTGTAGCATAATTGATTGATTGATCGATTGATATGTTAATTGATTGATTAATCCTTGATATCATTCATCTTTGTTTCATTTGTACAGGAGTTTAGTGTCATCGAGCAGCAGCTGTCATGGGTAGAGCATGCCCTTCAAGGGTCGCGACAGGATGATCTGTTTTACCTTCTCCATGATGAGGAGTACACCACCAAAGTCCACTCCATATTCAACCTCTCAACAGGTGAGATTATGATTGATAGATAAACAAAATGTATGTATTTAAATCATGAATGCATCATTATCTTCATAGAATTCCTGATTTCATGTATATCTCAACTGAAGGCTGTATCAGTCCCATGAAAAGTGTCACTAAAGGCTGTATCAGTACCATGAAAAGTGCCACTGAACGCTTAATCAGTGCCATGAAAAGTGCCACAGAAGGCTGTATCAGTACCATGGAAAGTGCCACTGAACACTGTATCAGTACCATGAAAAGTGCCACTGAACACTGTATCAGTACCATGAAAAGTGCCACTGAAGGCTGTATCAGTACCATGGAAAGTGCCACCAAAGGCCCAATCTGTACCATGAAAAGTGCCACCGAAGGCTGTATCAGTACCATGGAAATTGCCACTGAAGGCTGTATCAGTACCATGGAAAGTGCCACCAAAGGCCCAATCTGTACCATGAAAAATACCAGTACCATGAAAAGTGCCACCAAAGGCCCAATCTGTACCATGAAAAGTGCCACTGAAGGCTGTACCAGTACCATGAAAAGTGCCACAGAAGGCTGTATCAGTACCATGGAAAGTGCCACCAAGGGCCCAATCTGTACCATGAAAAGTGCCACTGAAGGCTGTATCAGTACCATGGAAATTGCCACTGAAGGCTGTATCAGTACCATGGAAAGTGCCACCAAAGGCCCAATCTGTACCATGAAAAGTGCCACTGAAGGCTGTATCAGTACCATGAAAAGTGCCACTGAATGCTGTATCAGTACCATGAAAAGTGCCACTGAAGGCTGCCTACCTACTGCCTACCTACTACCTACCTACCGCTCCACCGCATATCAGCTACTGCTGAGGTGGGCCATCATTGTTCTCCATCTGCCTCTATCTTGCGTGGCTCGTTGCGTCCCCTTCACTCGCAGGCCATCACTGCAAGGTCTCTTTCCACTGTTTTTCTCCACGTCATACTTTGCCCGCCCCTCTTCCTTTTTCCTTGTGGGCACCACGTTAACACCACTTTTGGCAGTCTTTGTCTTGGCATTTTAGATACGTGGCCTAGCCACGTATCTGAAGGCTGTATCAGTACCATGAAAAGTGCAACTGAAGGCTGTATCAGTACCATGAAAACTGCCACTGAAGGCTGTATCAGTACCATGGAAAGTACCACCAAAGGCCCAATCTGTACCATGAAAAGTGCCACTGAAGGCTGTATCAGTACCATGGAAAGTGCCACTGAAGGCTGTATCGGTACCATGAAAAGTGCCACTGAATGCTGTATCAGTACCATGAAAAGTTCCACTGAAGGCTGTATTGGTACCATGAAAAGTGCCACTAAAGGCTGTATCAGTACCATGAAAAGTGCCACAGAAGGCTGTATCAGTACCATGGAAAGTGCCACCAAAGGCCGAATCAGTATCATGGAAAGTGCCACCAAAGGCCCAATCTGTACCATGAAAAGTGCCACAGAAGGCTGTATCAGTACCATGGAAAGTGCCACCAAAGGCCCAATCTGTACCATGAAAAGTGCCACTGAATGCTGTATCAGTACCATGAAAAGTGCCACTGAACACTGTATCAGTTCCATGAAAAGTGCCACTGAACGCTGTATCAGTACCATGAAAAGTGCCACTAAAGGTTGTATCAGTACCATGAAAAGTGCCACTGAACTCTGTATCAGTACCATGAAAAGTGCCACTAAAGGTTGTATCAGTACCATGAAAAGTGCCACTGAGGGCTGCATCAGTACCATGAAAAGTGCCACTAAAGGTTGTATCAGTACCATGAAAAGTGCCACTGAGGGCTGTATCAGTACCATGAAAAGTGCCACTAAAGGTTGTATCAGTACCATGAAAAGTGCCACAGAAGGCTGTATCAGTACCATGGAAAGTGCCACCAAAGGCTGTATCAGTACCATGAAAAGTACCACTGTAGGCTGTATCAGTACCATGAAAAGTGCCACTGAAGGCTGTATCAGTACCATGAAAAGTGCCACCAAAGGCCCAATCAGCACCATGAAAAGTGCCACTGAAGGCTGTATCAGTACCATGAAAAAGTGCCACTGAAGGCTATATCAGACCATGAAAAGTGCCACTGAAGGCTGTATCAGTACCATGAAAAGTGCCACTGAAGGCTGTATAAGCACGGAAACCACCGAATGATGTTTAAGTACATGTACCATATCCAAAATTTGAATCATGAAGTTCAATCTTCATTAGTGCTGATGACAAACTTGATATTAATGTTAACACTATGATATTAAATGGTTGTTGAAATGACTAATGACACTAATGGCTGTTTTTGTCCAAACAGGTCAGAAGTTTGCCATTGGTCTGATGTCACCAATATGGCTGCCGGTGGGGATTGCTGTCAGTGCTGTAGTTGCAATCCCGGTGTTGGCCTACTTGGACATCAAGGCCGTACGAAAGAAACTGGCCTCTGAGAAGCATCTAGCTGTCTACCGCGCAGACAAGGTGCAGTACATGCAACAGCGTGTATCAACTGCAATGCAAAGGTTTTCAGAGAAGGAAAACATGTGCCAATATGTCCAGGCTAAATTGAGGAATACCGCGGACTTCCTGGTCAAACTGGAGAAGATCATCCCTGCATTGATCGAAGCTGACCGCTCACTAGTTTCAAGTCTTCAAAAGGAAGAGAGAAGTAATGAACAGCTAATGCTGACCTATCGACCCATTTATAAGACATTTATGAACTTGCAAGGACTCCTGAGTGCTTTTGAGTACCAACATGTGCGTGATTATGACATCTCCGAGTCCAACATCACACAATCTGGGGTGGAAGTGTCTGATGGGTTATTCAGCATGCTGTACAGTGTGAACATCCAGAGAGAATCCACCACAGAAGTTTTGTCTTGCAAAGAATACAGGGCTCGTCTTGATGCCGACAGTGCAGCAACAATCAAGAAAGAGGAGGAGTTCCTTAGGTAAGTTGAAACTGAGCAACAGGAGTATAGCACTTTTCTTTCCTTTCAAAACCCTTTTCTTGTAAATTTTTTATCGGCAAAAAGAATGCCAATTACAAATTTTAGAATATCTACTGACTATTATTTGGTCTATTCCTTCACAAGATATGCTTACATGTATTTCTTTATGCCAATGTTATCCTTCAAGACGGGTAGATCACAAGAACATTGCAGCACTTCAAGGTGTTGGTGAGAGTGTGAGACAAGGAGTAAGGCACCCAGTTTTACTACTTGAGCAGCTGAAAGGTTCCCTCAGAACAGAATTGCAACATCCATTCCGGATTCCAGGTAAAAACATCATTTATTGACTGTACCTTAAAGTTTGTTAATCTGACAGACATACATGATGGTGTTTTGGTCTACTTTAAGATCCTCTGGCTGATACATGGACCTTGATCACATTAAAATTTGAACAGCAAATTTTAGTAATGTCTTATTGGCATGTTGATCTATCTGTTTCATTTTGACAACATATCTTGGCTTGATTCTTGCATATTTCAGTCTATTACTCTTCCAATATGTACACATATAAAATTATATAATATATACATTAAATCATTGGCTAACTCTGGTTCATTGGTATTTCCATATAGCTCTGATGAAGAGCCTGTATGCTATCCCAGAAGCCAAGGCCAAGGTTATTCAGATACTGGAGGGGCTGCTCTACTTACACTGCAGGGGCTTAGTCCATGCTGAACTGTCATTGGATACTGTATTGGTGAGGGCACATCAAACTAACAGTTCATGACTGCATTGCCTTTCTAAAGAATGCAGTATAATTGAGACATGCATGAGACTTCTGTCTTACTTTCTGGTACCAATGGTAATAGTTGTTCAGGAAAAATGATATCAAAGATAATATCTTATACAACAGTGACTTTTTTTATAAGAAGATCTAACTAACAATTATGGTATGTACAAAATAAGGTTAATTAAACTTATAGATAAGGAAACTATAACTAACTAGAAAGGCCAATATTTGCTTTGGAGCAAATACAGCAATGGGTTCACCACATTTTACGACATGGCAGGGAAAGAATGAGAAACACAAGGGAAAACAATGATTTACATTGATATAACTATAATATGAAGTAACATACAACTAAAACTACAGTTGGATAGCTATTCCCTACTTTATTGGTTAGGATTTTTAATTGCATAATGCAAACTGTTGATTTTCAAAATAAATAAAAAACGTTCATGCCCCGCATTCCAATGCTGGAGCAGAAAAGCTTGAAATACCTACCAAAACACTTGAATAAAGACATATTGTCAGTATGGAAATGCTCTGTGCAGGTGTTAATCAAGTTAAATCCCAACAGCCAATCAGCAAGAAATGCTCTGTGCAGGTGGAAATGCTCTGTGCAGGTGTTAATCAAGTTAAATCCCAACAGCCAATCAGCAAGAAGTATAGAGGAAAGCTGCATGCCTATTGGTTGATGCCCTGCATTCCATTGTGATGACTCATGCCCAGACGTGATAAAGACGGCACACTAACACAGTAATACATTTGCTATAACACAGCCAAAAAACACAAATAAAACCATTCTAAAAGCCTGTATCACAAAAATTTAAAAAACGCCTAGGGGTATTTGCCCACTGTACCTCCATACCAAATTTCAGGACCTTAGGCCCTAAAATGAAGAAGCTGAATCCATTTAAAAAATGGCAGGAGAAGAAGAAGAAGGAGGAGGAGAAGGAGGAGAAGAAACATCAGAAAAAGCAATATGGGTTCACCACCACTTCGTGGTGTGGTGAACCCATAATTATTAACTAACTATTAACTATGGATATAGTTAATTAAAGTTATAGGTTATAAGGTTATAACCTTGTTAGTTGTCCTATAAATGGTTCCTTGCTATATGTGCAAAGTTTCATGTTTTCTCTCTATCTAATGAAGTCACTTAACTCAGTGATCACTCTGCTTTGCAACAACTGTTGCACCCGCAGGTATCCATGGAAGGTGAAGTAAAACTCACAAACATCGGCCTTCCTCGCTATGTGGCTGCAACAAATGACACAGAAGACGCCATGTTGCCATCTGCAGTGTACCTCCACCCGGATGTTCTGCAGAAGGGTGGTCATTATGAGTCCTACTGCGACATGTATGGACTGGGACTCATGATGTGGGAGATATGGTAAGTCTTTAATCCTAACTGGCAGAAAATTTGTCGCAAAACATGGTTGCTTTATTTCTATGTCATACATTGTATGTTATTTCTTGTCATAATGTATGTATTTGTACAGACACCCCGTGAATACAAATTCAAGAAATTTTCAAAGAGCCTTGTACAGGAACAACTTAATTTACTGTGTGTTACCAGAACACCTGAATTTACGGTAAAGTTTTATTGGTCCTCCTAAATTTACCATTGAGCATTGACAGCATTGAGCGTTGATCCCCATGCAGACCCTCAAGAAACCAATGTCTGTCTGTCCACATATCCCACAGGTATGGGAGAAGAGTCTACGATGGAGAAAGTCTGGCCCACCTCCTGTCCACCCTGGGAACAAGACGACCTGGTGACAGCATTGGAGAACCGCCTAACAGCCACTGGAGGAACATCATGGAGGCCTGCTGGGCTGTCCTCCCCACAGACAGAATGGAGGCATCCCAGTGTCTACGACAGATGAGAGCTAGCTCCCAATGCCATAGTCCATGACTGTTTAAATTCTTTGTTCAACATTTATAACTGGCATACTAGGATTTCATTTCCTAGACATGATTTAAACACTGATCTAACATGCCTTTCCCTTCTGCCCTATCTGAATACTAGTATATGATTATCACCTGTCACTAAGTATCTAGCAGATCTCACAATATGTTTTGGAGTCTGGATCCAACTTTAAAAGCCATGCCTGAGTGTACCAGTCAGTTTGACATCTCTATATCACCTCAGCCCGTCAGGTTTTCCATTGATAGATGTATGATGTTTACCTGCTGTAGTGACCAATATTCTCGTTAATTTTCGAGGTGCGGTCTGAGACAGACACGCCTTATAATTCTTGCCCTGGGGGACTCTAAGCCTTAACAACATCCCTGGCATTATAGACAAACAAGGGAGGGCAACATGGATTTCTCATTGATACAATCAATGTTGTATTTCCTCGCTGTTTAAGCTCACACAATGTAGCCAAAGATTGCAATCTGACAACACCACATTCCAGATGTAATATCTCACAGCTACAAATGTTAGTAAATATTAGTAGAATAGTTTTAGTAAACGCTATCCTAGTCTGTATGCATAGTGAGAGACAGTTCGTGAGCATGATGAGAGACAAAGTCCTTCTCAAGGCAAGACAAGAAATAATTATTGGGAGGAATTGGAGCACAATGAGACATTTCCATTTCGTGTTGTATTGTATAACTGTTTTCTTTCTATAATCAATATTTAACTGTCACTGAGATGTCGCAATGAGATGTTGCAATCTTACAACCTGTTCACTCCTGATTACAAGGAAAAAATCAAAGACAAAAGTTAAGCATCATATGTCATCTGTGGTGGTTTATTCCTAATCAACACCATGTACTTCTGATACCATGTCTCTCCTGATGAAGCATACATGTAGACAATCATTCTCATAGTTTCAAAAAAGATGACACGTTTATGAATACATAAAAAAACACAAAACTCGGTGATGTAACTTACTTCATTCTGTCATGGGTAGAGCATTCTCATTATATAGACGATTCTATCATTAACTTTCGTTTTTGAGGACTCGTACTCCGTAGAGCGTCGACTCTCCTTTCAGTTCCTTCATTAGGTCTACCTAACCTTTTTACACGTGCAAACCCAATGCTGCTCACTTCTTGTTCAGACTCACACCTTACTCTGTTGTTTTGTGTCTGGAGCAATGTTGTAGGCTCAACCGGCCCGACCTCTGTCAGTCGGCCTATCCCATAGGATTCCAGAAACATTGTCTTTTCATAGGCTATGAGAGGTCGATAGTTTCTGTTCAATTTTTTCCATCCTTTATGTGCTTTCATTGTTTCATTGTTCCCATCTGGTTCACACAGATGAAAGCCACATTTGTTTAAGCCTTCTTCCGAAAAGACATTAACGTTCTCGTCCGTTGTATTACTTACCCCGGTGACGTTACTCTGTACCAGGGTGCGTCGTTTTCTGTATTTGTCCGTTATGTTTTTCCTCCTTATTGTGCAAAATTTGACAAGAAATCGCCCGGCCTTCGACATCGTCTGCGAATTTTTGCTCTTTCCCTTCTTCCAGTGGTTCGCGTTCTGGTCGATCCAGAAGGCGATTCGCTCGTCCGGCGATGTCCGGTCGGTGGGGAGACAGGCGGCGGGCGAGGGGCGCACATTGGCCGGCGGCCATGTCATGGTGCACGTGTCACTCTCCGACTCATCGGTAGAACAAGTGTCACAAGTACACGTGTAACAGTAACCTGTGGAGCCGCTTAGAGTGTAACTCTCTGTCGTGCCAAACTCACTAGAGGTGGCAAGGCTACTGCACTCATTACGTGTATCTCTGCTACATGTTCTCGTTCGAATCAGACTCGGATCCCCGATAGCTCTGAACTCGCAGGATTTTTCTTCCCAGGACGTCTTGGGGGGAACCGTTGCCTCCTTCAGTCTCCTATGACAATTCTCACAAGGCTGGAGAATTTCTGCGATAAAACAAATGTCCGACAGTTCCTCAATGCTGTCTGACAACTCGCCCGAAGTTTGAAACGCCAGTTCCCATGACGTTCCATCTCCGCTTGACTGACTGTGTGAACTCGGTGAGGAATGGGACATTTCCGACTGTACACCGCTTTCTGAATTCTCTTGCCAAACACACGGTATCCCACGACCTGGTATGACTAAATCTGTGTGACTTCGTGACGGACTCTGCAATCTGTTTGAATATCCAATTTCTGAATAAATGTCCTGCTCGTCATCTGCCGTCGTATTGGTGTTCCTAGAGTTAGAACTGGAACTATCCTCTCCAGTACCAGTGTCCAATCTTGCATCAAAAGTCCCTGCCTTACCGGTACAACTAGTGATGTAATCTTTGCCCTTACCTCTTTGCCTATTGAAATAAGAGTCACTAGAAGACGACTCACTCGTGAGGTTCTCATCCGACGACTGCGACATGAACAGAACATCGGTGTCGATGTCCGCCGACTCCAGAACGGAGTACGACATCGTCCCAGACGACGCGTCGACGGACGAACTTTCCTCCGTCCCACTGTCCGCCTTTTCAAATATGTCTGTGTCGTCCTCCGAGGTCCATAGTGTGCCATTCTTACGGGAGTTCCACCACGAACGCAAGTATCTCAACGCCATTGTTGTAAGAGGCTCGCCAGCAACAAGACAAAACTGCAGAAACCTGACTGGCCGGTAACACTGTCGGTACGACCACTGTAACGCAGCTGCGGAAATGCCTCCAACCCTTCAATACTACAGGCGGTATTTGTAAGGCATGTAGTGTCTAGTGTTACTAGTCTTCCTGCATGGCGTCAACTTGGAATTTTTGAGCGCAGACGAGCCAAAACAACAGTAAAGAGAAGCTTACTTCAAAAGCCGGCGTTTCAGGCTAACTGTTGTCACCTGGTATAAACATGCACTTACATCTTCTAGCGTCAAAGGAGTTCAGTTACTCAAGGCGCTCTCTCGGAGTATTGGTACTTTTTCTGCCGTCAATACGCATTGTTCTTTGCTATGATATGACTTTGTAAGGATCCAGATAAAAAGCGTTTGTATGTCTGGAGAACACACGCGGCCCCAGCTGTCGCCGATGAAGTCGCCCGCGGTTTACTTTTGACTGGCACGTTCTGAGTCGCGACGCTGTTTTGTTTTACATGTACAAAAATGTACGCACGAGTGCCCGAGACTCCCGTTACCATGTAACTCGTGAACAGCAAGTACGGCAATAAATTCAGCACATTTGCGAAATGTCCTCTTGAACACGCGACATATACGGGATGGAAGTTCACAAACCTTCTCAACCTTCTTCAATCCGCAGTTAAGCGTATGTAGTTAAAGATGCAACAGGTTTGGTGCAACCACATTTAAATGGTTCGTTCCCCGACCGACTGAACTCTAGTACTGGCGTATTTCTAGCTTCTGTGCACGCTATCTACTCCCGATAGGCTCTCTTGAGCCAGACTTATAGAGGTATGTGAAAATGTTGTCTCTCGTCCCAAAAGGCTTGGTATCCACGGAGACAGAGATCCTCAGTCGAGCTAGGTTTGCAGCCGTATCTATGCAGACGATATCCTGTTCTGCGGCGGAGGCGACGCATTAATAAGTCATTTTGCTACCCTATTGTCTGGAGTGGGGGAGGCGTAAGTTAGTATTCCTTCTGCTTCAAAGGGTTTCGTCAGCGGATTGTATCTTTACACAATTACCTTTGTGTCACTCAGTTCTCATTTTTGATACTAGTATCCAATGGTTTTTGACGTCTCTTACTAACATGTCAACGTCCATTCATTCAACTCATGCCTAGAACCCGCTTTCAGAAGAACAGTGACAGTGACCGTTCTTACGTCTTCCCATAACCACGCAATGAATGCTGAATCCTTTGTACGAGCTTGTTCTTCCCGCCTTTCGGAGACGCTCATTCACTCACGCCAAGCACATTTTTGAAGGCCAGTGACAACGCAGGGGACTTTTAATTCTCCTACGGACACATCCTTCTCCTATTGACACAGCTCCAGGAGTTTGGGGTGGTATTGGGCTGGTGTACACAGTTATTATGTGCGGAGATCCTGGGAGAGCTGGTAATTGTACGGCACACAATGTAACGACAGAGGAGGAGTTCCAAATCCCAAGATAATTAGAACTGGTTGACTCTCTGATGTTATATGGCGTAAGTAACGCACTTAGTGTGCTCCCTCTGGGAGGGACTCGAGAGGATTATCTTATTGTTACACCTGTGCTGTTTGCATTGGCACACCTCAGAGCGCCAGGCAAATTTACAGAGTGTGACCAGGGGTGCAGATTGTCGCGTCGTAAATGTTTACAAAGAAATCCTGTCGTTTGTTGGCGTACTGTTTTGTGGTCCACTTTTAGGGCTGTTAACAACCATCAGAATATCCCTTCGGCAGTTAAACATTGTCATGGGGAAAGCACTTCGTACTTTGATGGTATCCCGTATGTTTCGTCCTTTTTGACGCTCGTTGGACGAAATTTAAAGGCTGAGAGAATCTCTGAATCGTCCGTTTGTAGTCTCTTGCTCGGAAACACTGCCTGGAGTCTACATGTAGAACATTGCAGAAGACATTGCCTTTGCAGAGGGAGACTCAGTCTTGATGGTACATTGAAGATGCGACATTACCTGAGTTTTCAAACATACAATAAAACATGTCAGTGGGTGGTCAGTAAAACGTGTATACATAATAATACATGTATGTAAATGGGAGTGATCAACTCTGAACCGATTTTATACCCACTACATGTATCAATGTTCGAGATTATAAAGAATAGAAACTTTTGGCAATATCGCCTAATGGCGTGATAGCTTCTAATACCTCATTCTTATAAACAGAATTCTTAATCTGTCCAGAAGAGACTTCGCGTTTTAAGTCAGCTCACAACATGGACAGAAGTTCCATCTTTAACTTCACATTAACGACATCCCCATTGATCCCAACGTCTACCCACATCATGCATGTCCCTCGCCTTCCCGTGATGATTCGTAACGGTGCGCACGGCTACCCGTTATCTCTATCTGTAACTTTGTAACTACCAGGTACACAGGAAATGTTGGGTATTGTGACAAGAGAAGAAAATAACACTGTATTCCATGAAACACGCAGAAAAGGACGGCATTGTCATGAAATAAGTACCACGGAAAACTGACACAAATGTGTTTATCTTCACTTTTCTCTATTATTAGCATGACGCATTGCGACGTCACAGACCTAGCGCTAGTTCTGGGATATCTGCATTCTGATTCTTTCACCAGGTTTTATAGTTCTTAGTTTGTTTTGATAAAGGTCCGTCCATTTACAAAGCAGGTTTTGGGAAGTGCGTAATGTTTACTGATGTAAGCCCCGGTGTTCATCAAACCTTTTTGACGACGCCTTCTGAATGGACCCCTAGCCTTTCTGACAACAAGGTATTTGTACATGGTTGTTCCAACAAGACCCCATACGGTCCCCTTGTCCAAGCAGAGTAGTCCAAACAGCTCCCTAAGTACCCACTTGTTTGTTATACCACCAGAAGACGTGTTTGAGGGCGGCATACTTGGAGGGATAAGTGACGTTTTTGATTGTAAAACGATTTCAATGCTTTATGTTTTATTGCGGACAGCGCTATGAGCCTAAGGTATAATACCAAACACTTGACATTCTTACATCGCATCGCCTTGGTGGGAATATTTCATGTCCCTGTCCTTATGGACGAGAAAGGCTGTCTCGACAACGCGGAACCTGTCGTATCCTCAACCGTACGTGCCTATCTAGTTCGGATCCTGAATATGTTAGGGTTAGGATCAGACACGGTTCTAGATAGTCTCCGCGTATCCAGGAACGTAGATTTGGCAGGGTTCTAAATGCGCACCGACTATCCAGAACCGTGCCTCAGATTGGTTCTGGATAAAGCACGGTTCAGGATACAGCCGTTTTCCCTCTTTCAAAGAATCCACAATGTTGACGGTTGTTTGTACTAGTCATAAGCCGCACAGTGAAACTTTGTACCATTCACGAGAAACTATACAGAACCACCTTCTTTCAGCATCGTCCTATTGATCCCTCTGTCCTAGTTTAGTGATATCTGAGACTTTAACCTTTTACTTTTTTATAAGAATAATAACACACCTATCACATTTCACCACATACTAGGCTGAACAACAATTGATATCTATCTTAAGCACAATACTGCACGCTGGCCATTTCCTGAACAGGTGTATACTGAAGGCTCTACAAGACTTAGCGCTGAGAAACATTGTTTTGTCCTAAACGGCAGTTTACTTTCGCAATTTGGAACAATCATGAATTCCTGGGGCAGAATTACAGGAAGAAACCAAATGATGAGTCACAAATGTAATATTCAAACATTTGAAACACTTCTCCGATAAATAATGCCCTAGCTATTTAAAACGAAATTAGAAATGACTGAGAGCTACTTGGGCTAAAGTCTATTCATCATTTAAGAGAACACTGGAATTGTCATAATTGGTGTGGCGTGAAATTTCTAGTACACTAGAGATGATGGTAAACATCATAGCGACACCGCTGATAAGCTGACAAATATACATTCTCATCTGAGAGAAACGACGGAAATGTAAGAAATGAACACTGAAATGAAATCAAACAAACGGTACACACCAACCTGAACCGCCGTTAACGTTATAGAAGAAAAATGACTGGTACTTTGGTTATGTAACATTAAGACTGTAGCTCACGGATTAATTAACTGGTACAATTCCACGCATGCAAACACAGAAGTCAGGAGAATGTTACCTCGCGTGGCAACCCCGTAGTGTAGTATTCTGGGCGTCCTCTGCTGAGAGCAGTCGCCTCGCTACCGTGGACAACACAAACCAGGACAGGGTAAACACGCCGATGTGGTTTTGTTCCGCATACACTGTGATGGACAGGACAAACAACGGGTCGTAAGTTTCCCTTTATCTCACTTATGCGGGAACTCTAAGACTTCGGATTCTTGTAGATGACATCATAACCAACTCGAACAAAAAGACGGGATCTTCTCTTCACAACCTGTTTGAACAAAATAGACAAAAGACAAGATGATATATATTGACAATATAACGTCAGTGTACATGTATACGCCACAAAAATACGACATTCCGTATCTCAGTAAGTAGTTAAGGGTATTATAGACTTCATAGGAGGAGCATTGACATAGTACTCTCGCATGTCTTACCATTGACAAGAACATAGTTCCCTCCGAGTAAACTTATGCGGGTAGACTCACAGGGAAACGAGGAATGTCTCCATAAAAGACAGCCTTTTTCGGTGTTTTCTTTGTGGCCTTCCCTTTGCAAGGCGTGCCGACCATCAATGTGGATTAAGGTGTTCAAAACACCTGCACAATGTTCGGCAGGTGAGAGATTTAGGCCACGTTGACAAACAAGAAAGCCACCCGCATCGGCCCCCAGTCGTGCTATATTACCGTACAAAAGGAACTGTGTCACTTTTACAGGCCCCAAAAAGCAATCCAAACAGCCAACCATGTATTGGAATAACATAACAAGTATTAAAAGAGAGGCGATACGTGTTTTATGCTTTATGTGTTGTTGCCAAACTTCCATGGGTCTACCAGATACGGCCTTAACTTTTCTTACGTCTCGAAAAAGAAAAGAAACTGATCGATCATGAGAAGATTTTCAGAACCGGCTTTCAGAACCTCAGAACCACGTTCATAACCTTCCCGCCGACCACCAACCAACCAAAGATGGGGGCAGCCTGGTCAGATTTAGGCCGCGCCTACATGTACGCCTACTATTTGATACGAATCGAATGAGTTAAATTTGGGTCAAAAACCATGTCCCGACCACAGCTGGCCTACTCCCAACCACCAGCCAACCAGTACCATGGCCCATCCTCCAGTGCGCTCCCGAATGTTTTAAACATTTTGAAACATTCGGCTGGCGAAATCGAACATTAGCTCACCGAACACCTGCCAACCACTCCCGACCTATTCCTACATCCTGGCCATGGTTGGGGAAAGTTCGACAGTGTTCGGGAAGCCATATTTGGCTATCTGCGACAGGGAGTAGACGACAGGACCGAACTGATTGACAGCCGACTTCGTGCAGAGATAGTGACATGATGCATGCGTGTGTGTTTGGAGACGGATACCCAGTACATACCGTGCCCAAACATCAAGTTGACTTACCGTTTCATTCAGCGCCGTCCCAATCGATATCGTGTGATGACTGTCCATATACTATGCAACCACCTGCAGTGTGCTGCGTCAAAAAATAATTCGGAAGCGGTCTATTAATCTGTTCTACATCAGCCTTATTATTTATGTGAGGTTACATGATTTATGTATGAGAACCATTATTCTTTGTGTACGACCGGTGACCGTAAACCAAAGATTAAGTTGTCAGTTTGTACTTTGGATGACAGACAGCTGATTATAACACGCTTCATTACGTACAGGCGAGGAGACGATCAGAGGTTGTGCTATCGTTCCCTCATGATTTACACACCTGGATTTACAAGCTAAGCAGCAAAAACTTGAAGCAGTGATCAGATATGTGCAACAGAACTTTTAATCCAACTTATTCCATATGTGTGTGTCGGCCTCCTATTGTGACTTAGAAGTCAGTTGAATTGCTAACATTTAATTTAATCAAACGAATCACCAATCAGATTGCGTGTATAATGAAGCGTAGACTATGTATGGAATGGACGGTGCACATTGTGTGGGACACCGACACGCTCACGCAAAGCATGCCAAAACACTACATACCAACAGATACCAACACTAATGAATATACTGCCAGATTTTCATGTGCCTTTCTTTACCTGGTGCAATAAAATAACACCAACATTAGTCATGAAAACATAATGGGTGTATCGATATATTTGACGATGTACAAATGAAGTTGTATCAGTCATGCAAGTAAGTACTAGTACTAGCACGAGATACATTGTAAACATCAGACGGGCAGACAGTACGTACACACACAGGTGAAAGATCAAACAGGAATGTCTGATTTTCAACTACACTAAATACGCCGACGCCAATAATATTTCTAGACTGAGACAACAGATTTTTAGAGGGAGGGCAGACACACCCAACGTATTCGGCTTGTCCCGAACCCTGTCCAAATAAACACGGTGCAAACATACCTGTGGTCTCAGGATCAGTGCTGGGCCCAGCATGATTCGGGCACCCTCCCTGCTAGATCCCACAATTCTTAGCGACTCTATACAGACCGTAAAACAAATTATGCAGCTGCAACAATGTGATTCGGTCATTTGTAAATAAACAAAGGGGGAAATTGGTCAAGAAATGTCTTTGACCAAACCTGCCGTCCACCCCAACTGTAGTACCACCCTTCCTAGATCCTACTGATTTGATTCCTTCCATAAAGTTTCCTGACTGATATCGATCCTCCCATTCCACAGAATGGAACGACCCTTTGAAAACTAATGAAGCACAAATCAATGTATTTGCCCCGACCTTCGACGGGGATTGGTTCGTGTAAATCACTTCACCATCATTTAACATGTCTCTTCGCCTTCTGTCTGTCACGGAGTCAATGGCGCGGTTCGGAGCAGTGACGGCGTTTTTGTCCGGGGATTAATCCAATGGGACGTGAATCCTGCCGCAGGTTTACGTGCATAGTGCCACTATTGTGTGGGATCAGGCGAACAGAATATCTATCTATATATGTGTGTCTATATTTTTTCTTCCATGCATTGTTTACTGACACTTAACGTTTGGCTGCCGGCTAATAAATCTTTACACGTTTAGGCGATGGTGATCATGATAGGTATGCAGCCACTATTTCAAATTTATTACTTTAATTGTAGTTGTAAGTAGTCCGGCTGGAAGTCAGCATGCCATATAACTGCTTGTATGTAACTGTCCTGTCGTACTCTCCAGTTCCCCCACTCCTCAGGAGAACTGTGAAGTAATATGTCCAGCTGGTCACATTGTATGTAATACCACCAAACCAGGCATTATAGACTATAATGAAGAGATTCCTATACACAAAACATACGTAAACAGACTGTTGTCCTTGCGTGACCGACGTGACAAAGCCCTTATCACCTGTCCTACGGGGGAAAACAATCAAAAATCCTTTCTTCCATTTCCATGACCCAACAGTAAAGGGCGGTCCCCTATCTTCACTGATCAGGTAGTCAGTTCCTGTCCAGAAATGTCTTGATTTGTCTAACATCTCCGACTGGACAGTCTCAAAATTCTCATAATATTTCGACTGGGAAGAGAAGTTTTAAACTAGCAAATACCTCCGCTGATTAGGTTTTAGATAGAGCCTTGGAGAAAAGCCTTTTAAATCCTGGACTTCAGCAGAGAGGAAATACTTGGCTTAAGGTACAAAGGTCTCTGTAGCTTCAGGTTATGTTCTCCTTAATCCCATACATAACGAGTTGCTGATAGAGTCTGATAGGTTCTTAAGGCCACACACTGAGAAATTGATCCAGCAATGAGCCACAACTGATCTGCTAGATCACATCTGATAAATGCATCATCAAAGAAACTATTGTAGTTTTAGATTCTCAACATCATCCTATTTCATTAGATACAATCTGTTGTCTGTTCATGTATTCAAGGGAAATATGAGAATGATGTTTTCGTTGAAAACGTTGAAAGGTACCATCATAACAAATCACTAGAAACATACATGTAACAGTACTGATGTACACATACACATATTCATTCAACTGGTTACATGAAAGACACAAAGTAGAAACAAATCAATACAGAAATGTTTTCACTCCCTCAGAAACTTTATTGTTCACTTTAAATGAAGTTGAGCTTAAGCCTCAACATCTACACATCCATTCCCCAACAGGATATCATTGTTGACAGCTTCATTGGAGGAGTTATAATAATTCAAGTCTATAAACAAAATCAAGACAAGTACTTCCTTAAGCACAGGTTTACAATGTATATATATTTACAGACTTTGCTTTGGCATACCATATGTACAACCAACTACCTTCACAACCAATCACTTTAAGCCACTTGAAAATTCCCTTGCCCCATGTAACTGCATCATATACATGTACTGCAATGTAGCCTCCTTAGTAAGCTCTACAACTGGGCTTTTTGGGAATCTTCATGGCACGCTTTTTTCTGGCATATAACTTCTATTAGTATTGTGGTTCTTTGGCCGGCCCTACATGTGTTATAAAGGCTCCAAAAAAAGGCCCATCATAGAGCTTGCTAAGGAGGCTAATATTTCCAAGTGTATATTTGACTGCATTTAAAGACAACAGTCTTACAACTGTTGGAAACTCTGAAGTTGGCTACTTTTCTACATGTATTCATCAGTCATTTTAAGCAATATTTCAATATTTTTGGGTTCAAGAACGTGGTTCTTGATAAAGCAGTTTAAGTCTGAAAACACTTGGATAATTTTTTAAAGTCATTGAAAACCAAAGATGATTCAGCCATAGCTTACATGTACCTATGATGCTTACCTATGAATGGTAAGATACAATTTTGCAGCATAAAACTAGATTGGAAGTAACAATGACAATTTGCCTCTTTTGCTTCCTGCAACAGTGCAAAACAGTATTGAATCGGCAAGACTGTATCCAATACACCACCTGAAGTTTGATTGGCAAAAAAAGATACCAGTACAAAAAAAGAAAGCCTAACATAACATAACAATGGCTAAAAACATGCCAAAATAAGTCAAAGTCTAAACCTCTGCTGGGAGAGTAGTGTATTTTACAACTTGTGGGACCCACAATATATCACATTATCATCACCATGTTACTTTACTTGGTACTCCTGAAACAAAGTAATTCAAAGTTTACATACACAGAAGCTTCAAAAATACTCATCCTAAATAAGCCTCTCTCCTGATCTCTTAGCTTCAGTATCAATATCAATATCAGTTTTATACCCTTGCCCATCTTCTTGCTCAGATACATCAACTGTGCTGTCTAAATCTGCTCTCCCAGTGTCCTGCAGGGTTTCATCACTGGTGCTTCCATCCTTACACCCAGCCACACTGTGTGTGCTGACAGGTATGTACATGTACTCAGTGGTGGTCTCCTCTTCACTGTTGTGAGTATAGGTACACTCTAGCCGGATTTTTCCCGATTGTACTTATGCTCTCAAGAGCTCTTCGTCTGAGTCATCTGAGTCGTCAGACTCAACTTCGTCTTCGATGGCCGACCGGCGACCCTTCACGACGGACACGATAAAGCCCAGGACAAATATCTGGTAGTAGGCAGACATGTCAGTCAACAAACAACAAAATGGATATTCAAATGCAAAACCACTCCTGCAGAAATAATGAAGTTTGATGCTTTAAAACACACAATATTACATCAACCCCACAACAGTTTTGCATTTACAAAGAAGGACGAAACATTGTCTGTTAGCCCGGTACAAATTACTGGATGTAAAAACCCCCACATTCAATTATCTCCATTTGCTTAAAAACCTGATACAAGAATGTTTGTCTACTCCCTTTTAAGAGGTATAAACTGTCCAGCTTTTCAATGACATTACGAGTGATTACAGCCTAAAAATTCACCTGTGTCGAGTAAATTGACCACATAATAACCCCCCATGATTAGATGACAATAGGAAATTAGCACCTCATTAACACTCATCATTACACTAGTAACCTGTAATCATGCCTAAATGGGGATGGCAAAATGGCCTGAAAGGGTTGTATTATTGTGTTCTGTGTGTACTTTACTGTATGTATGTGTATGTCACATATTAGCTTGTTGCTGTAAAACTGTAAAATTGAAAAAAAAAAGACAGTCATGAGATTTATGTCCACCATTTTTTCTTCCTGAAGTACTCACCCCCAGGAAGCCCCAGGTGCCCCAGTAGTAGCAGGCTCCAAAGAACCAGACCTTGTAGAAGAAGCGAGTTGTCAGAGTACTCATTCTGGTCATGGTACACTCCCCTGGGACAGGAAAACAAGTCTGTCAATGTGTGTTGTCTACTTTATCCAGTGTATAACAAACTTCTGGCAGACAGAATTTCTCATGGCCTCCCTTGATCATGTATCATTCTTTATGCTATACCTGCTATAGCAGGCATAATGTGTGATAATGTTACAGCCTGTGTTAGCGTTAGTGGGCTACTATATAGTTATGATACAGGCTTTAAAATGTTACATAGAACAATTCAAACATAACAGACATGTCCTACCTTGTGTTGCATTCAGATTACAGGGCACGAGTGTCGCAAAAGTCTCATTGGTGGCATGGTTGGTCCCATTTTGCTGCAACGCGCCAGACAGGAGGACATGTTATGGCAAAGCACATAGCAAACAATCCATGTTTCTAAATTTTCAATGTCACATAACTTGCATGTGGGGAGCAAGTGAAAATCATAACCCAAGGAGTTGTAAAGAAGAAGCTGAGTTGTAGTACCCAGTAGTGCTGGCTGCCGAACGTGACGTACTGCGGGGACAGGGTGTACAACATGATGTTGTTGGTCAGGACGATCAGCATCAGGATCATGCACATGAACAACAGGGCCTGGGGACGGGTCCGCTGCACTCGGATCTTGTACATCTGTATGGACAGGTCAGGATTAGTACTTCCTTATTATGATCAACATGTTCGTATGATGTACTGCTCCAGCGCAAAACCTGGATGTTACATGCTTCTTTGGATGATTGGTCAATGCTGAATCAGAACTTTGTCTGTCGCAGATGATATCTCTTCTGACACAATATTTAAACTATGATGGGATGTCATCCTTAGATATGTTGGTCCAACCTTAAAAGTGATGTTCTGCCAAAGTGCTATGAAGAAGACATTACAGGTTTTATGCAGGTGCAGTATGTTCTGCTGACAATTAAGGTCATCATTAGGTCATTAACTTCAATGAGCAACGTTTTCATTTTCACATACATGTACCTTATTCTTGATGTCAACTTTTGAGATTATTTAACAACCTCTGACAAAATTCTTTTTTGAGTTCATGTCCAACCCTGCTTCAGTAATGGTATAGTCCAAGATCAAACAATTCTGGGAAGTGACAGATCTAGATGTTGACAGCAACCAGTAAATACTACCAGTATTTTGTAATCAGGTACAAGGTAGGTAGAAAGACATTGTTTACCCTGATCCAGAAGAACCATATGCCCATCTGTTTGATCCCTGCCATAGAACAGAAGACCCAGTACATGATGATGGCTGAGATCAGGATATAGTCCAGGGGAAACACCTGAAAAAGTTCATTGCATTGTTAATGGAGAATTCACTCTCATGAACAGCTCTGGTGTTTGTCCTTTGTACATATGATCATGACAAATATGGTATCACTGTAAAGGGGTACATGGGTGACAAATAATTATAAACTTTCCAATGACATACTATGCAGTTGAGTAATTTCAAGGCACTTTAGAATTGAAGTCATGGTGGAAAGGTCCACTGTACACTGTTGCATACACAGTTGCCATGCCTATGTATACCTTCTGTGTGTTGACCATGACAATGTCTACAGGGTTGGGCAGTTGTGGTTTAGGGAGGGCGTATCCCATCTTGTACCCCAGGCCATGCAGGATCCGGTCGATGCTGTCACGAGAAAGAACACAACAGTTTTATACATAATCATAATGAGTGAAAACTGTTGGCTGCCAAAGAGAAAACAAAACCCAAGTTGAGAAAACATATATCCATTAAAAACCAGGAAAAATCCGGATCTTGCACAGAATCAGTACATTATGTTGACATGCTGTACTCACCATGACAGCAGGAGGGACACAAAGATGATGAGGGCCAATAGGATGAACACAATCCCAAACACCATCTGGAGGAGAAAGATGACCATGATTGGCACCGGTATATTTGTAAGGGTTATTCCACGAACAAACAAAATAAGATTCAGAGGACACAATGTTTTACACTAAAAGTATCTGTTCTTTAACTTTATCTAAATTAGAATACAACCCCCTCCCCCTTGTTATTTTGCACTGCATTCTGTTTTATCCCTGCACTAATTATCCTGCAGTACTGCAATGAACAGCTAGGAAGAGCTACAGAACTGCACATTTCCAGGTGATGAAAACCTGCAGTTTTACATTTCAACACTAGGGGGAGCTGCAGTATAAGGTTAGTCCTGCACCTGGAAAGGCCTGCAGACGATGAAACACTTGTTGAGCCAGCTGCGCTCGGCTGACAGGAGATGACGCTCCCGACGACGCAGGAGACGGAGCTTCTCATCCAGGTCATCCATGTCACGGCGGTCACGGCTGGTCATTCGCCGTCCATCTTGGTACTGCCAACAAGTATGTCTGTTTAGTTACTGCATCAAGTCATTCCCGGTACATGTATATCCTTATTAACACTTTGCTTTGAGTAAAACAACTATATGTCCTTTGGTTGGCATGTTCTGTCACAGCCTAAAGGGTCCCAGTCCTTGGGAAGGGATGTTAAGTTGAGGTCCCCTCTTTACTGTGCTTGTTGAAAAGAGCTAAGGGAATATCTATGGTACCATGATCCTGTAAATACTGTGTATTCTCTATCATGACCAGTGGAAGAGTACAAAATGTACCTCTTTAGTGAGCTAAACTGGATCAGGATCATGTTTAACCTACCTTGACATGAATACGGTTCCTCCTCTCTTCCAGCTCTTCCCTGTCCTCACAGACCTCAAGTCTCTCTCTCTTGGCTGCCCTGACACCCTTGATCCAGGTAAAGGGCAGGGCAGTCATGCCATAGGCCTGTACAGTAGAGAAATCAATTATATCGTACGTACATGAAGCAATGTGATACATTTTGTAACTCTACATGGATTCTTAGATGTACAAAGCATTATCTATTCTATGATAAAAATTAAATTGAAATGATCATCAATTTACTAACCTGATGAAACACTTATCAAGTGGTGTGATAACTCAGCAAACTTTGGAACTTCTGAATTAGATAAGGTCATCTACTTTCTGCTTTCCCTCGTTCCAACCAGTCAGTGCCAAACAAGAAGTGTTAAAAAACGTGTTTAACATTAAAAACCATAACAAAGCTTCTAAACAGTCACATGTCTTTGTGACATCATGTTCTTACTGTGTAGGTGATGAGAGCCAACATTCCCAACAACGTCAGGCTACTGATGGCAAAGGAGATGGCATCTTCTCCATCTGTGAACAACAAAAAACAGAAAAACACAGTGAACAAATGCCGCCATCCCATGTAGCAAGTCTGCAGAATGTACTGCACCTGCTTTGATTGCTATAATGTATAATATGCATATAGCACTTGGGGACAACCATTTTTACGGTCGATTTGTGTATTTAAGGACATTATGTTACATCCTGTTTATAGTTTTGAAATGTTGTGTCAAATGATATCATCTGCAACAGGCAAAATTCTGATGCAAAGTTGACCAAACACACAAACTGTGAAAATCTGGGTTTTGTGCAGGTTCAGTGCAGCCGATATGTCTGGAAATGTGAAAATGTTAACTGGCAACAATAAATTTCCTCTCAATAAAGCAAATTTGAATTCAGAGGAGACATTACGGTTTGATCCTAGCTCGTTGAAGAGGAAGTGCAGACGTTCCCAGTCAGTGGAGTTTTTAGCAGGAGGAGCTGAGAGTGGGGCCAGGGCGCTGCACGGAGAAATTTTAGAATAAGTTGTAATACAATAACGTAAAACAATAAAACAATAATTTCTTCATAAAAGTACAAAAATATGATATGAAATTTATGTATATAACATATAGGTAACAGACATTGTATGTCATCCCCTACCCAATGAGAAGAAGAATTGCAGCAACGATAATGAATGCCACAGTAAACTTGAGCGCTGCACAGCATCTCTGTAAAATAACATCATCATCAGTCGACAGTGCTACAGGGTGATAATTGATATAACCTTTCATTGGCTGATACAAGATATAAAGTTTGTAATGTAGCAAAAAAATGACCTGACATATGCATCCTCCAGCTATATACTGTACAGTCCCTAAGGCCTAACCATATCTATTTTGCAACTGACAAGTAATAATTAATAGTATCATTTGTCTTCATTACCATAAACTGCATTAGCATATTGTTGACCTGTAGGTTAAAAATCTGCAAGAAAGTACTTGAAAAATCCGAGTACCTTAGAAATCAAATCTTTAATACAAGATTTTGTAAAATCCAGATATGTAAAGTTTCATGCTTTATACCAAGAAGGTTAAATACAAGATTTTAAACCTCCTTGTTTATACATACTGGAGTTTGTAGTTTTAGTACCAGTATTATACTATTAGTTTTTGACTAGAGTAGAGTAGAATAGACTCTTCTGACTATGACTACTATGAGTATGAGATTAACATTCGACCATAAGTTAACATGAGCTAACATGATTATTTAGTTTCCCCCACAACAAAGGTATTGTAAGGAACCCAACTGCCTGACATCAAAACCACAAGTGGCAATTCAACTTGCCTTATTTGCATGTAAATGGTTCTGGGCAGGGTTGTACCAAGTTAAGGGGGCAGCACAAAACACAGCCAAAAGCTTCTTGTTTCTGATCACATCCTATGAATAAGTTTTTAAAAATCTTTTTTTAGATAGACACACACATGACTGTCTTTATGGTCTGATCCTTCATCACTTCATTCCAAATAAGTATCAAAAGATACTCTTTTTAGTTGTACCCCCACCCCTTCAATGTGGAACAGTCTAAGATGACGTAATGGAAACCAAACCTCCAGGGTGAATGCCAGTGTGGTTGCGTGTAGAAACTAACTCACTGTGGTTAGAAACTGACTCTGAAAATCCCCCGCCCTCACACTTTGGCAAGAAGATATATCAGGGGGACTGTAGGGGAAGTTCTCACTGCAGGCCTACAGCTACTGGGGTACTGAACAATAACAGGTCTGTCTGGATAATACAAGATTGCTGAAAGACCAGGTAAGCAACAACAGGGCTAGAAATACTGGATGCATGTGCACCTTAGTGCACGCAAAATTGAACTGTGCAATTTTTTTCTGTGGGTGCTTCTGTAGGTATTTTTGTACATAGTATACAAGATATTCTTGGCATCTATTCTAAGGCCACACCAATTTAATTTCTTGGTTAACGGATTCGCCGCTTCATTTTTTTTCTGATTTGCAAATAAAAATAAAAATCCAGAATCAACTGCAAAATGCTCATATTTTGCCCTGAACAGTTGAAAACAGACCTTTTCATCTTAGTTGTTACAGTTATTCCATCTTTCAATGCAATGGTATCATTAAAAGTTCAAAATTCATTGTTTAAATTTTGAACCAGCCTGGTGTGTTGACTTCATGCCAATCATGGCTCATATCGTACCATTTTGGGCCATAATACGATGCCTAGGCCTGTTTTTATTTTTATTTTTTTTTCGCCCGCCCGCTACATTTTTTTTCCAGAAAAATCCGTTAACCAAGAAATTAAATTGGTGTGGCCTAAGTGTCACAAAAATAATGCAATATTTGTTGTTACTTGTGTAAGATTTTGAAGTTAGCTCCTATTCCAGATTCAAGTTTAGAAGAGGAGCAGTATGATCTGTAATTAGGTTTTGTTTTATATGATGCACCTAATTTTTTTAGGTTGGGTGCACCAGTGCATCTATTCCCAAAAATGAATTTTGAGCCCTGAACAAACTGTCTAAAAACAGAATTTGCAAAATATGTTTTACTGGATTCAGTACATGTATTGATCATATATTGGGAAGAGCAGCAGTACTTAAGTGGACTTCAGCTTAAATTCTCAAGACCAGTGTCTAACACTGAGACTGATGACTGGGTGGACTGTTCCATTACTTCAGAATATTATTGGATCACTTCCAACATATGTAATTACTCATCTCCAGTTTCAACTTTCACTGGCTTGGAAACAAAAGGTCACAAGTGGTCATGCAGAATGAGGCTTTATACTTGAACATCTGCAGTTTTGTGTGAGCATTAGTGGTTGACCTGATGGGGTGGTATCAGATGGGGATCGGAGGGCTTGAAATACTTAATTCTGCATAAATTTTGTACCTGCATCAGTACAAGAAGCGAGAAGAAGCTGAACCTGTAAATAGTAGATCACATTAGTTTATATAGTATGTAAGTGTCATTACGGTTTTCTTTTCCCTGTTTACCCATGACCTGTACTTAGCTTGTTAGAGCAAAAGCGTACAATAAAGGTCTTTCATTCATTCATTAAAAAAGTACCTGCACCATTAAATTTTATCTGGTCCACTCAGAATTGAGAAAATATGAATCACATGCACAACATAAACACTGTCTACAATTTAGTGACTGCAATAGACAGAGCTTGTGTGATTGTTATGTGCTATTTTCACCTGTCCACAGCCATTGCAAATCAGTTCAAGGAAGGTGAACACTCCTGCTTCATCATACGGCGATGGCCAAAGTGTCTTTGTTGATGTCTCTGCTATCTATCCTGCTACTTTCTGTTGCCAAGATGTCAGAAGAGAGTAGGACAACAGTACCTGCCATCTTGGAGACGTGCAGTAAGCAGGGTTATGCCACTGAGGACTGCAGCCATCTACACCTGCGGCAGGTGCCCCAGGGTCTGCCACCATCCACCCATGTCCTGATCCTGTCCCACAACATGCTCACACGTCTGCTCAACTCCTCATTCCAAGGGCTGTCTAACCTGGAAACACTGGAGCTTGGTTTCAACAGCATTTCTGTCATCTATGGAGGAGCTTTCACAGGCCTTGAACATCTCACCAAACTAACCCTGGATCGCAATCAGCTGAAGGTCTCTAAACTGTTCCCGGGTGTTTTTGACAGACTCGCAAACTTAACCACATTGGACCTTTCCTATAATTACTTTGAGGTGATACCAAGCAAAACCTTCACCCATACATCCAGGCTGGCAAACCTGAACCTTACCCATAACTCACTGACATCTCTGGATGATACAAGCTTTGCAGCAATGGCCAACAGGACATTCCTTGTCTTAAATCTGTCAGAAAATAATCTAGAGATGATCACTGCAGCTGCGTTCCAGCCACTAAAGAAGATAGGGCATCTCGTGGTAGATAAAGGGATAAAGGGAGAGACATTGCTTCACGACCTTTGTATTGCTCTAGGGAAAACAGAGGTCACCTCCCTCTCTGCACGGTGGATTGACCTTAGGACACTGAACTGGACAACCCTGCAGCCCCTGGGCACTTCTTCCATTCAGACTCTGGACCTTTCAAACAATGCACTGACAGCACTTGCCGACAATGTCTTTACTGCACTAGCTTCCTTAAAGACTCTACAGCTACAGAATAATAAAATATTTCATATTAGTTCACAGGCCTTCCATGGACTTCATCAGAGCCTTGAAACCCTGAACATGAAGAACAACACCAGTACACCAAAGGTGATTAAACCTTCCATGTTTGAGGGTTTCACAGGTGGGAAACTAACCCATCTAAACCTAAGACAGAACAACATCCAAAAAATCTCCAAACACAGCTTCCAACATTGTAGTACTCTTACTATTTTGGACCTGTCACACAACAACATGGACCAAAGAATCTATGGCGAGGAGTTTTCAGGGCTTCCCAACCTTCAGGATTTGTTCCTAAGTGACAACAAGAACATACTTTTGACAGGGGATTCTTTCAAATATGTGCCAACTCTGAAAAACCTCTTAATGAGTAAGGTGCAGCACAAGTTCCGTCGCATTGCAGGAGACCCATCCCCATTTCAGTACCTAAATCAGCTGACTTGGCTAGACCTTAGTCATAATAATATGGATTATATTGAAACAGGAGCTTTTACTAACTTATCATCACTGAAAGAACTTTCTTTGAATAACAACAACTTGTACAGACTCTGGGAACCAGGAACCACTGTCTTGTTCCTTGAAGGCCTGACATATTTGAACACGATTTTCCTCTCCAGAAACGGTTTCCGGCAAATCCACAAAGACGCCTTCAAAAACCTTACACATCTGAACAATCTCTACCTGAGTTACAACAAGATCAATGTCCTCCCCAACAACCTTTTTCAAAGTTCCACAAAGCTGTCCAACTTGGATCTAAGAAACAATTCCATGACGGTCATAAACAAGACTGTGTTTGATCCGTTTTTGTCATCCCTGAAGAAACTGTACGTTGCTGGAAACCCGTTGTACTGTACATGTGAGATGGCCTGGTTCAGGGACTGGCTTAACAACACTAAGGCTGATGTCGGTAACCTTACCCGTGATGTCCTCTGCTCCTACCCTCTGAAACTCAACAAGAAATCCATCCTGAACTTTGACACACAGATATGCAGGGTGAACTGGGAACATGTTTCACGTGTTACAATGATAGTAACAACTACCTTTATTGCTTTATACATGATAGTAGGCCTTCTCTTCAGGAACCATTTTCATTTCTACATTGTGTACACATGGTACCTGGTACAAGCAAAGATACGACGACCACAGAAAATTCCAAATCGAGGGAAGAAGTATGATGCCTTCATTTCCTACTGTAGCAAGGACACAAAGAAATGGGTACAAGAACGTCTTATCCCAAAACTTGAGGAGGAAGGAGAGCCAAGATTCAAACTCTGTATTCATGAGAGAGACTTCCCAGCAGGAGTGCCCATCATTGAAAACATCATAAACAGCATTGAATCCAGCAGAAAGACAGTCTGCCTTGTTACTAAAAACTTTCTAAACAGTGAATGGTGTAAACAGGAGTTTTACCTTGCACAACTTGGTCTGTTTGAAGAAAAAAATGATTTGCTGATCTTAATTGTCATGGAAGACATTCCTGACTACTGTCTCAGTCGCTATACCAGACTCCGTCGCTTCATGTGTCAAAACACGTACCTTAAATGGTCTGAGAGCCCAAATACCCAACCACTGTTCTGGCAGAGGTTACGCAGAGCACTGAACACAGACAACAGACCACAGAGGTGCACAACATATGGGGCTATTGCTGTGGAAGATGAGATGGACTGATGTGTACTAAGGTGTATTTGTTCCTCGTCTTTCTTGTTTTAAAAATTAAACCTGTATTTCCAAGTTATACAGTTATTTTCAAAAAGGTTTTAGTGCTGGATTGTTTAAGTACATGTATGTTATGTACATGTTCTACTTATATTTTCACATTAATCACAGTGTATGCTCTACTAGTAACACAATAAACAGCTAATATTTCTTGCTGCAGTTTATACTTTAACTATCTTCCAATTCAATAAAGATGAGAATTTCATTAATATTGTGCCCTGGTGATGTGCACTTGAAGTCATGTACTAAAGGTACTTACTGATCTGCAGGTGGAATCTTCATCCTTCTCCTCATAGAAGAAGTACATGAAGGGGATCAGAAGGAAGGCAAATGCCATCACTGCACAGTACAGTGCTGTAAGATGGAACATAGAGAAATCATTTAGAAGATTTCATGTATATTGTTTAAGCGTAATCGAATCTCAGACACTTAGCAACCTACGGTATATGTCATCTGTTTTAAAAGTAAAACAAAAAGAAGAGTCCAATAGCCTAGTCAATAGTAGACATTCTTACCATAGTAGCTGTAGAGGACTGCATCCTCTATTGACTGTCTAGTCTGGTTGTCTGCTGCCCAGGACTGGAATCAAGAAATCAGGGGAATGTACTAAAATGCATGTAGAAGAACTCCGTGATCAAGATGTACAGTGGACATCGAAAATTTCAAGGTACGTGTTCCTTAACCTTTCAAAAGAGTCACTGATTGAGGAATATACTACTAAATGTAGAAGAGCATCTTGAGGTGACTTTCTTCATCAAATGTTTGCATTTCTATGTTTTGACAGAATTAGGCAGGGCTAATATTGGGATCTGCTGATACACTTTAATTATTTAAATGTTGGGGGCCTTCATCTTTGACACTGGGCATGCAATTGTGTATTTTATTTGTGAACCAGCAGGAAGACTTCACATTTTACAAGTAAATTCGAGCCCTGACCTTGAAGTGTCCATCAGGAGTTTTCATGTAGGACACCAGGAAAATGTCCACAGGCACCAGCGCTGAGGTCAGTAGGGTGATGGCCAGAGCGGCGATAGCCGTCAGGGTTGAGCTGACCTCGCTGTCATGTCGGCTCTGGTAGTACCGGATGTAGAACCACGAGAACAGGAAGGCCAGCTACAAGAAAACAAACCACACAGAATAGACAGATAAATGACCTCACTCACTCACTATACGAGGATTTCCAAACTCATCCTGGCAACATTTTAATGGTAAATTTACGTAAATTGCCATATACACTAACGGTAAATTAAGTTGTATATTGGCTTTAGGAGTGACTTTTTTCAATGTTCTTCTTTTGTGTTATTTTTCAGTAATGATGAATTCAGGATACCGAAAGATATAATTGCATGACGTGATACAAAAGCGACCAATCACACTTAAATTAAATCAAATTTTTAAAAAAGCCAGCGGCTGTGATTAACCGTTAACGGTGGACTGAAATGATATGCCTCACAGACAAAGGCATGTGTACCCTCCTGTACATAATCACCACATATTCATATCATCCATGGATGGATGCAAATTTTGTGATATTTTGTCAAACCGTCTGCTTACTTATCTCGAGTAACTGTAAAGTTACTTACTAATAGTAATATATTACTATAATGTGTATGAACAGACCACATAATCAAGGTATGTAATAAATAGATTATTATTATCTACCATAAAGTAGAAGACGAAAAATAAATCTTGACACAATAGAAATTGACAGCAGGTCTTGTATAAAAGTTGTTACCCTACCAGTACAAGTTGGCATGCAAGGACTGGCTCGGAAAGTAGGGCA